GCCCCGGGCTGCCTCTGGCCACATGTGGGCCTGAGTTCCAGTCCACCGGCTGGAGCTGAGTGAGACCCTGCTGTCTTCAGGGTAGGGGGGAGTGCGGGCGGGGCCTTGGGGCGGAAATGGGTGGGTCTATGGCCTGGGTCGGGGGAGGCTTAGCCTGCCCTGGCCTTTGACACCCGCCGCCCAGTCCTCTAACAATAAATTAGCTTCCCAGTTCTGGTCAGCGTGGCTTCCACCCTGAGCCCCGAGCCCCTCCCATCAGGGACCCACCACAGGCATTACCTCCACTCCACTGTGGCTTCCCTTCCCCAGACACTGCCTGTGCCAATCACCCTCTCTCCCCTCTTGCAGCCCTATAGGCCCAGGTGTAGGCCAGCCCCTTTCAATTGGCTGGATTGGGCTCTGACACAGGGGAACTGGGCCCAGGTCTGATAACAGGGATCAGCTCCCCTGTGACAGGGACAGGCCTGACTCTTGGGTCCTTTGCTCCCTGAGTGAAAAGGAGCAGGGAGGTTGCAGCCCCACCTAATGTAATGGACACCCTAAAGGGGTCGTAGGATGACCAAATGTCCCAATTTTATAGGGACAGTCCCGATTTTTGGTCTTTTTCTTATATAGGCTCCTATTACCCCCCACTCCCTGTCCCGATTGTTCACATTTGCTGTCTGGTCACCCTAAGGGTAGGTAGCCCCATGGAGAGGGCTGCAGGGGAAAAAAACACATGCGGTGCCCATTGCAGAATGTTTCAGTTGCTTCTCTGGCTTGGATGCCCTGGGGGACATTCCATTTGCCTCTGTCCTGCACCTCCAGACACTGCAGTCCATGCTGAGATTTTAAGGTGCCAATATGTAATCTGTAGCACCTGCTCCGAGCAACTGAATACCATTAGGAATGCTGCTTGGCTGCAGGGTAATATTACTTTTACTCCCTGTGTGATGAAATAGGATTTTTCTGCAATACTTTTCTGACCCCTATGTGTGCCTCAGTTTGCCCTATATGTTGCATTGTTACTCAGTTGGGGAGGAAAGGAGTAAACAGTGAGGTGACAACATTTGCAAACAAGACAAAATTATTCAAGATAGTTAAATCCAAAGCAGACTGCAAAGAGCTACAAAGGGGAAACTCATAAAACTTGGTGACTGGGCAACAAACTGGCAGATGAAGTTTAATGTTGTTAAGTGCAAAGTAATGCACATTGGAAAACATAATCCCAACTATGCATATAAAATGATGGGGTCTAAATTAATTGCTACCACTCAAGAAAGAGATCGTGGACTCGTGGAGAGTTCTCTGAAAACATCTGCTCAATGTGCAGCAGCAGTCAAAAAAACTAACAGAATGTGAGCAATCATTAGGAAAGGGATAGACAATAAGACAGAAAATATCATATTGCCTCTGTATAAATCCATGTGTGACGGGGCGCGCTCACCACTCCAGCGCCTCCTTGTGGCCAATATGGGAATTATCTCTGGTAGCAAGTGTGCCCTGCTCCGCCCATCACCTCTTCTGCTCCTGAACCCACATCCCTCCAAGGACCGCGATGTCCTCTTCAGTGACAGCCCTCCGGCCGTGCCACACTAGGTGCTCCCCCCCCTTCTGGGGGAACGTCTCTGTAGTCCCTGTCCAGCCACTTCTCTCAGTGGTGACCACAGTCTACTGTTTAGCCCCTTCCCCAGTGGTGAGTCGACTGTGACCCAGGCCTGCCCACT